CTTCCCCCCATGGTCACTACCATCTACACCATTGTCACTACTACCACCACCACTTCCTCTTCCCCTCCCCTCTACCACCATCACCAGCACCTCCAACTCCCTTCCCCCTCTACCATCACCACTACCTCCACCCTATCACCATCAACACCTCCACCATCATCTTCACCACACTGTCGCTACAATCACCACCTCGATCACCACTTCCACCATCACCACCATCCTCTTCACAACCACCACCATCTCCATTACCTTTACCACCACCATTACCACCATTCTCACCACCACTGTGACTACCACCACCACTATTACCATTACCATTGCCATCATCGCCATCACCACCACTAGTACCACGACCACTACCAGCATCATCACCATCATTGCATCCACCACCACAACCACAGCACCAGCACCACCACTACAGCCACCACCACCATCAAGAGTTTTCAGTAATATAGCTTAACCACCTTTTGCATACTGACAGACTTGATGGAGTTTGAATGCTGTCTTATTTGGGCCTACACATGTCGAGTATAAGGATATCATGTAGAAGGTAAAAAAAAAGAGGAAGAACCTCAGTTGACACAGTGCATTGACACAGTGGTTGCACCCATGGCTCAGATGTTGCAATCATTGTGAATATGGTGCAGGGGTGGGCTGTATTCTGTTCTCTAGTAGGTAGGGTCACTATGAGTTAGAACTGACTTGATGGCACCTAACAACAATGACGATGACAACAACAACGCCTCTGTTTTCAAACATTTGAAAAAGTGGAAAAAAATGAAGGAATAGAAATTTAATGTGCAATTATGTAAGAAAATCAAAGTAGTACCTATGCCAACTCTATAGTAAAATTGAAAATAAATGTTTTAGTTCACCCAGTTTGAACTGCTAGTTGAGACCTTCTGATCTCTCTTTGCCTCTCTTTCAGGTGTCATCGGAGGAGGATACTACTGTACCCAGAGGGGCTTCTCTGAAAGAGTGAGAGACTCAGTGGTCAAACTAGTGCCCCTGACACGTAGACTTTGGCAGATAACCAAGATAAAAATGCTCCCGACACCTGCAAAATTCCATTATGTATTTAACCTTCGAGATCTTTCTAGGATTTGGCAAGGAATGCTGAACACTACTTCTGAGGTTATCAAGCAAACAGATGTAAGTATATAAATGAGAGAAACCAGTTGCTAGATACTGTAAAGTCAACTATGACTTACAGTGACCCCTGTCGACAACAGATTTGAACCTTGTTCTATCTTGCCTCATCCTCTCCTGTATGCCCAAGCCCATTATTACAGTCATGGTGCCTATCTGTCTCCTTGAAGGTCATTTTCTCTTTTGCAGACTCTCTACTTTTACCATCATGCTGTCTTTTATTCAAGTACTGACCTCTCCTGACAGCATTTAGTGAGATGGCATTTCACTACCGTTATCTCTAAAGAGTCCTTGGCTGCATTTCCTGCAAGGTGGATTTGTTTACTCTTTTGGCAGTTCATAGTATATTCAATATTCTTCTCCAACACTATAATTCCAAAGCATTGATTCTTCTTTGGTTAGTAACCAATAACATTGCTTATTTAATGTATATCTTCTTTGTTGTTGTTATGTGCTGTCAGACTTGTTGTTGTTATGTGCCGTCGAGTCGCCTGCGACTCATAGTGACCTATGTACAACAGCCCTAAACTCTGCTCTGTCTTGTGCCAATCGCACTGTCTCTGACACTCCCATCCCAATTACCCCAGTCACTGAATCAATCCACCTCATAGAGGCCCTTCCTCTCCTGCGCTGTCCCTCCACCCTCCCAAGGATGATGTCCCTCTCCAAGGACCGGTCTCTCCTCACAACATGTCCAAAGTATGTTAGACGGAGCCTCAGAATCCTTGCCTCCAAGGAGCCACCTGGTTTAACCCTTTCCAGGACAAATCTGTTTGTTTTCCTGGCAGTCCATGGTATTCTCAATACTCTTCTCCAGCACCACAGCTCAAAGGCATCAATTCTCCTTCTATCCTCCTTGGTCATTGTCCAACTCTCTGATGCATAACAAGTGATTGGGAAGACCAAAGCCTTCCCTGTCAGACTTACATATTGAGAATACCATGGACTGCTAGGAAAACAAACAGATTCATCCTAGAGAGGGTTAAACCAGGCTACTCCTTGGAGGCAAGGATTCTGAGGCTCCGTCTAACATACTTTGGACATGTTGTGAGGAGAGACCAGTCCTTGGAGAAGGACAGCATGCTTGCAAGGATGGAGGGACAGCACAGGAGGGAAAGGCCCTCTATGAGGTGGATTGATTCAGTGACTGGGATAATTAGGATGGGTTTGTCAGAGACAGTGTGATTAGCACAGGACAGAGCAGAGTTTAGGGCTGTTGTACAAAGGGTCGCTATGAATCACAAGTGACTTGACAGCACATAACAACACCACCGATGTACAACAGCTCTGAACCTTGCTCTATCCTGTGCCAGCCTTATTGTCTCTGACACCACTACCCCCATTGCATCAGTCACTGAATCTATCTCATTGAGGGTCTTCCTCTCTTTCACTGTCCCTCCACCCTTCCAAACATGATGATGTCCCTCTCCAAGGATTGCTCCCTCCTTGCAACATGCCCAAAGTATGTCAGAAGAAGCTTCAGAATTCTTGCCTCCAAGGAGTAGCCTGTTTCCAACCTCTCCAGAAAGAACCTGTTTGTTCTCATAGCGGTATATTCAACACTCTTCTCCAGTACCACAGATCAAACACATCAATTCTCTTTCTATCGTCTCTAGTCACTGTCCAGCTCTCTGACACATAGCACATAATTGCAGACTATGGCCTGGATCAGGCACACCTTAGTCTCCAGCCTGACGTCGTTGCTCTTCAGTACTCTGGAGAGGTTTCTGACAGCTGACTTTCCCAATGCAATTCATATCTTGATTTCCTGGCTGCTAGTACCAAGAGTGCTGATTGTGGAACCAAACAAACTAAAGCTGTTAACAATCTCAATCTCTTTACATTCATAATGATGCTGCCAATTGGCCCAGTGATGAGAATCTTTGTTTTCTTGATGCTGAGCTTCAATTCATATTAAAGTCTTCAGTCCTTGACCTTACGCGGCAGGCACTTCAGGTCCTCTTCGGCTTCAGCAAGCAGAGTTGTGTCATCTGCATAATGCAGGTTGTTGATGAATCTTCCTCCCATCCTGATGCTACATTCCTCCTCATACAGCCCACAACAGGATGATCTGTTTTGCATACAGAGTGAATGGGTATGGAGACAGAATACATCCCTGGCAGATACCCTTCCCGATTTTTAACCATGCAGTGTTTCTTAGCTCTGATCTGATTACTGCCTCTTCGTTCAAGTATAGGTTTTGCATAAGCACAACCAAGTGTTCTGGGATTCCCATTTTTAGTCAGCCATAGTTTGTTGTGATCCACACAGTCGTCAACTGTGAAAACCCGGCCAGGTGCTGATTGTGGAACAGACTGCCAACTACTCATATGGAAGTTCAATCTGAAGTTGAAGAAAATAAAATCAAATCCACAGGAACCAAAATTTGACCTTAAGTCTATACCACCCAAATTTCAAAACCATCACAGGAACATGCCTGAGGCCTTGAACACCAATGAACAAAGACCAAATGAGCTGTGGGAGGATATCAAGAATATTATCCATGAAGAATGCAAACGATCATTACAAAGGTAGAAGAGGAAGAAAAGACCGAGATGAATGTCAGATGAGATTGATATTGTACTAAAGCACCAAGAAGCCAAAGCTAAAGAAAGAAATCAAGAAATTAAACAGTTGAACAGAAAATGTGAAAGGGCAGCTCTGGATGACAAAGCGAGGTGTTATAATGAAATGTGCAAAGTACTGAAGTCAGAAAATCAAAAGGGCTGAACTTGCTCAGCATTCCTTAAGCTGAAGGAATTGAAAAACAAATTCAAGCCAGGAGTGGCAATACTCAAGGATGCTTTAGGCAGAATATTAAATGATCCAAAAAGCAGTAAAAGAAGACAGAGGAGTATACAGAGTCACTGTACCAGAAAAAATTGGCTGACACAGAAGAATTTCATGAAACAATGTATGTGCAAGAGCCTGTGGTGATGAAAGAGGAAGTTCAAACTGCTCTAAAAGAATTGGTAAAACCAAGGCTCCAGGAGTTGACGGCATACCAATTGACATAGTTCAACAAACAGATGCTGCCCCAGATGTGCTCACTAAGTTTTGCCAGGAAATCTGGAGCACAGCTACCTGGCCAACTGACTGGAAGAGATTGATATTTGTTCCCATTCCAAATAAAGTGACCTGAGAAGAGTACGGAAACTATTGAACAATATAATTAATATCACATGCAGACAAGATTCTGCTGAAGACTATCCAAAAAACGACTGGAGCAGCACATCAACAGAGAACTGCCAGATGTGCAGGCTGGGTTTAGAAGAGGCTATAGTACTAGGGATATTACAGGTAATGTTAGACGGATCTTGGCAGAAAGCAGAGAATACCAGAGGAATGTCTATCTGTGCTTCATTGACAATGCAAAGGCTTTTGACTGTGTAGATCACAACAAACTGGGGCTGACTCTGAGAAGAATGGGTTCAAGTATAACTACATAAAATTTCCATCCAATAAATATCATTGTCTAAAAATCCATTATACTTCATCTCCTCCTCTAAATCATGAGCTGTGCTCAGGCTAAGGAAAAGTGAGTTTATCTTTGAGCCTTCTGTGGAGTCCAGGATGTAGCTATGCACGTCATTTTAAGTTACTTCTTTACATGAAGAGCACACAGAAATGACAACACCCACTGAGCACATTAACTATTAACTGCCAATAATTTCTGCCCCAGATACTCGAAATGTAGGTTACTTGAAATGTAGGTAAATGCTGTCTAGGAAGACATTTTGGAGAAAATTCTCCGAAATAGAGACTGGTGTTAAGTTAGTAGCAATAAACATTCTTTATGTTTTTCCCCTCTGAAAGTTACTGACAAACTAATAGAATTCTGGAATGTAGTTTTCAAATATAGTTTCGTTAGCTATTTTGATGCTTATTTAAAATCCACACAATTTCCCCCCAGTATTTAATATGGTCATGGGGCTTTATTTTAATTGAATTCTTGAAGCTATTTTATCCAATTTGTTATGTATTCTGGCTACCAGGTAGCATTTTATCATTACTACACATGGATTAAAAATCATGTAGCCTACACAGTGGTGTCAAGTTATTTCTACTAGCCTTATACTATGCAGTGAATTTAGACAAACCGTTATTTGTCATAGGAACAGAACTATTGAGCAATTAATTTTCCTGGGCTTCCAGTTTGTTCTTGCTATGTTCAGATAGTAAACATTTTTATAGTATGCATTTCCTTCACTTTGCATTAAGTACATGTTGTTGTTGTTATTATGTGTTGTCAAGTATACAAGCTCTGAAGCCTGCCTCCTCCTCAGGGGAAGGATGTTCAATCTCTTCCCATGTGATTAACTGCCTTCTTGAAGGTCAGCTCTGGGTCGGTTCTGACTCTACAGTACACAACTTCAAGAAAATTTTAGGTCTT